TTGTTTTTTCCTGCTGTTTTTCTGGTTTCAATTTTATTGATTTCTGCTTTTATCTTTACTATTTTCTTCCATATGCCTGCTTTGCATTTATTTTGTTCTTTTTCTAGGTTCTTGAAGTAGGCGCTTACATGATTGGTTTGAGAATTTTCTTTTTTATAATGTATGCACTAACTCCTAAAGATTTCCATCTTAGCACTTCTTTAGCTGTATTCCATAAATTTGGTATGTTTTATTTTCATTTTCCCTTAATAATTTTTAAAATTTCCTTAAGACTTCCTCTTTGACCTGTGGATTATTTAGAATTGCATTGTTTCTCTTCTAAATGTTTGAAGATTTTCTTGTTATCTTACCATTACTGATTTCTAGTATGATTCCATTGTGATCAGAGAACACACATTGTGTGATTTCACTTCTTTTAAATTTGTTGAGGTGTCTTTTATGGCCCCAAAGTATGGTCTGTCTTGTTACATGTTCCATAGCCACTTCAACAGAATGTGTATTCTGCTGTTATTGGGTGAGTGTGTTCTGTAAATGTTTAGATCGTGTTGCTTGGTATTTTCAAGTTCTATATTCTTGCTGATTTTCTGTCTAGTGTTATACCAGTTGGCTAGAAAAGAGTATTGGATTATAGATTTTTCCATTTTGTATTTCAGTTCTATTGCTTCATGTATTTTGTAGCTATGTTGTTTTGTTCGTACACATTTAGGATTGCTGTGTCTTCTTGGTGGATGGGCCCATTTATCATTATATATGTTCCTCTCTGTCCCCATTTATTTTCTTTGCTTTGAAATATTTTGATATTTATCTGGTATCAATATAGACACTTTTGCTTTCTTTTGATTACTGTTTATGTGATATATCCTTTCCCATCCTTTACTTTTAACTTTCCTATGTTATTTAAAGAGAGTTTCTGACAGACAGCATAGAGTTGATTCATGTTTTTTAATCCACCCTGCCAATCTCTGTCTTTTCATTGCTGTACTTAAGTCATTTATAGTTAATGTAATTATGGATATGTTAGGGCTTATTTTTTGTTTTTTTTCATTTTTCATTTTTTTTTTTTCTTTATTTTCCTGTGGGTTACTTTAACATTTTAAAAGAATTCCATTTCAGTTTATCTGTGGTATTTTTTAGTATATCTATTTGTGTAGCTTTTTAAATGATTGCTGTAGGCATCACGTAATACATACTTAACTCTTTATGGTCTTCTGGTGTCGACATTTTACTAGTTCAAGACACCTTATCTCCCTAGATGTGTTTTTGCTCTCCCCTATTTATAATTGGCTCAGATATTTCCTCCACATATATTTAGAACCACATCAGCCAGTGTTATAATGATTTTTGTTTTAACCATCAAACATAATTTGGAAAACTCAAGAGGAAAATGAAAACCTATTGTATTTACCCATATTTTTGCATACCATGTCCTTTTTTCTTTCCCCACATTTCAAGATTCCATCTTATTGTTTTCTTTCTATTTAGAGAGCTTCCTCTAACCATTCTTTTATGGTAGATCTGCTAGCAACAAATTATCTTAATCTTTCATCTGATAAATGTTTTTATTTTCCTTTTATTCCTAAAGGATATTTTTGTTGAATACAGAATTCTGAATTTGGCAGCATTTTTTTCTTTCAGCCCTTGAGAAATGTTCTACTTTTTTTCTGGCTTCTGTGGTTTCTGATGAGAATCCCACTGTCTTGTTACTGATGAGAAATGAATTATCTTATTACTGTCAAGTGAAGATGGATGTCCAGAGTCCCACGTGTTCTCCACTGATACCACAGTAAGAGGGTAGAGGAGGGATTCATTGCCATCTAGTGAGAACGAAAGTCCTGGCTTCTACCTGCCGTCTCTGAAGCCACGCTGAAGGGTTAGAACATCTGCTTACAATGTTCTAGGCTCTCAACATTTGATGGTGTGGGTATGGGTGGGTCACAGGTTTTTTTGTGTGATGTTTGGCTAGAGTATAATAGTTACTGTTTAAAAGTTTTCTGTCTTGCTAAGGTGCCGCTTTCCTGGTCTTTTACCAGAGAGAGCAAGATCTTACTGAGTTACTGAGGGGTTTTTTTTTGTTGTTGGTTGGTTGTTTTGATATGCATGCATTGGCGTTTCTAGTTGCCGGCTTCTTCAGCTCCAAGTCTGGGATATATGAAGCAAAAAAGAAAACTCAGAGAACCTACCACTGTGTCATTCTTGGATCTCAAGATCCTTTATTTGTCTGCTTTTCCTCCACAGTTCAGTCTTCTTATGCTTGTTTTACATATAATGTCCAGTGTTTTTATTTATACTTAGTGGGAGAAATAGGGAAAAGTGTGTCTGCTCCATCTTCCCAGAAACAGAAGTCCCTGAGCAGTTGTTTTTAAAGTAAGATACAGAAATGATATTTTTTACCTTAAAATACTTCATGATGTATCTTCTGAGAACACAGATATCTTTCTACATAGCCAGGACTTCATATCACGTCTAAAAATTTAACATTGATAAAATGTTATCTAATATAGGATTCCTATTCAGATTATTTCAGTTGTCTCCAAAATGTTTTCTTTGGTTATATTTCCCCGATCCAGGATTATGCATTTCATTTGATTGTCGTGTAGTTTTTGGTCTGTGATACAGTCTCCCAGCCTTTTTGTTGTTGTTCTGTTTTATTTTGGTTTTGTCTTTCATAACACTGACTTTTTTAAGGGTTCAGGCAAGTACCATATAGAATGACCCACAATCTGGATTAGTCTCTGTTCCTCGTGATTAGATTAAGGTGAAATATTCTGGCAACAGTGCTATATGGGTTGAATATCTCTTGTTGCTTCAGTCAGGAAACATGATAAGTTTAATCATTTGGTTAAGATGGTGTCTACCAGATCCCCATTGCAAAGATATCTTTTTCTTCTTTGTAATAAGTATTATGTGGGGTAGAGACCCATTATTTTAAAAAGCCCTGGAAAACCATGAATTAAATATATATATATATATATTTTTTTTTTAATTACTGGAAAAGCTAGCTCATTTTTACAGTAGCATTCCAAGCAATAAGTATAGATAAAAACTGGAAATATAAAATCACCATTAAGCGAACACCACAGTAATCATTGTTGCAGGCAAGAATCATTAATGGATACTAAAATTAATGGGCAAAAGTATGATGAGATAAGATATTCACATAATCTCAACTCCCTGCCCCAAAGACAATAATTGCAAAGAGAATAGATACCACCTTATTAAGTGATCTAATTTAACATGTAGTAACATGTATTGCATATCACCTCTGTGGTATTCTTGCCAAAATTGTATAACCTCATTTCAATCTTGACAAAACATCAGACACACCCAAGTTGAGGGACATTCCTACAACATAACTGATTACTACTCTTCAGGACTGTCAAGGACATGAAACTTTTTTTTGTTTAAAAAAGATGGAGGAGCTGTTACAGATTGGAATAGACATGACAACTAATGCAATACAGAATCCCAGATTAGATTCTGGACCAGAAATCTAGTGGGACAGTTGGCAAAATCTGAATAAAGTCTGTAGATTAGCTAAGAGTATTGAATCAATGTTCATCTCCTGGTTTGATGAGGATACTATGATTGCATGATGATTACATGATTACATGATGATTATACTATGATTAAATAAGAGGATAACTGGGAACAGGGTGAAGAGTATACAGGAACTATTTTTGCATCTATAAGTCTAAAATTATTTCAAAAGAAAAAGCTATTTTTTTCTATTTCTTCAATCTTATATGATGAAAATCACTGATAAATACTTCCAATTCATTTTGCTTGGATAGCAGTCTTCTTCTTAAGTAAACAGTCCAAATTTATATAAGAACTAAACATATTTAACAGAACATTTCCACATTCTTTCTGCATTATAACAGACACTGGAATGTCCTTCCCATTCTGAAGCCTGGATACAGTTCCCCAGAGAGACCTGGGCCTCTCTCCTTAGACTTTGTGATTCCTACACTTACCAGGTTGTGAGTTTTAGACATCTTCTAGAAAACAGTTTATTCACTCAACACATTGAGCACTTACTGTGTCCCAGGCACTGTTCTGGGCACTGGAGATAAATGAGGAAATAACAGTAAAAAATCTCACCCCTCATGAAACATAGATTCTATTGAAAGCCTATGGATGACAAACAAAATAAGCACATTTCTCAAGTATGTTTATAGTATGTTGTGGAGAAAAATAAAGCAGTAAAGGGTGAATGTGAGGATAAGCAGGGGCGGTGAGGGGGAGTACTTTCTTTACTGTTTCATCTAAAATAGCACCCACTATCGTTCTTATCATTCTCTATCCCTTTTTCCTGCTATCTCTTTTTCAAGACATAACTATTTGATATTACGTATTTAAAATACATCTATAATTTTTCTCCATTAAAATTTAATATCTATATGAGCAAGGGCTTTGTTTTACTCACAACTGAAGAACAATGCCTGACTTGTAGCAGGCCCTCAGTAAATATTTGTTGAGTGAATTCTCCCTCAAATGTTCAGTCAGATGCTGTACCTAGCATAGTTCCTTGTGTTCACTGGGGGACTAGTAAAATGTTGTGGATTTCATTAATACTCAGACTCAGGTTATATAAGAGTCCATTTTGTAGAATAGCTTGTATGCACTTTTTGTATTTTCCTGGGTGAGAATGGAACCCCTGCAGACCCTGGGAATGCTTCTTAGTTGCCTGTCACCATGGGGAATTTGCCCAGTCTGTTTACAAGGGAATCATTCCATTGCACTTCCATTTAAAATATGATACAAAATGCTTTTCTTCTGAAAAATGAAAAACGTAAGAGGAAAAGTCTATGTCCCTTTCAAACTGTGGAACTTTCATAGCTGAATGTCTTAGATATATGCTACATTATCTTATCCCTAGATAAAAAAATAACCTTATCCATTCTTGTATTTTACTCTCTGGCCTGTTACAATTTTATATTAGAAATACCTGTTTCTTTTCCTGTAACACTAATCATCTTTCATTTTTATATTTTGAACAGTGTTATTTACTTGTCTACTACACCGGCTGGAGGAATGTCAAATCTTTTTTGACTTTTGGCTTAATATGTCTATGCAACATGTATCTCTATGAACTGCGCAACCTCTGGCAGCTTTTCTTTCATGTGACTGTGGGAGCATTTGTTACACTACAGATCTGGCTAAGGCAAGCCCAGGGCAAGGCTCCCGATTATGATGTCTGACACCATCCTTCAGATCTATTGCCTTGGCTTCAGGGGGAAAAGGAGGGAACATATCATAACTGCCACTGTGATGAAGAAGCTGTTCCCCACAAAGGAGAAGCTCTGCTTTCTTTCTCTCCAACTTTCCTTTTTTAAAATCAGCATGGCGTGCCTGTGAGCATGGAAGACCTTCTAGGAAAAGTCCTCAGAAGAATGCTGGCCATGAGATTATCATTCAGAGGAGAAGATTTCTCTCTTCAAGGCCGTAACAGTGGAAGAACAGTCGTATGCCATTGGAAGACTTGGCCAGCCATCCTGAATCCTTCCTGAAGAGTTCAGAAAATAGATGTGGTATTGCTCTGAGGACCAGGCAGGAGGAACTCTACAGTCTGAGTTTGCCTTTGTGAGGCATTAGTATAGACCAAATAAAAAGCTGCAGAAATTGGAAAGTTTATGTTTTAAATAAATGACTGTGATAAATATCAGATTTTACATTGTTGCAATGTGCAAATATTTTCTTTGCTTTGAAATATTTTGATATTTATCTGGTATCAATATAGACATCAGATTTGCACATTTATGGTACTAAGAGTTTATAAAGTCCAAGATGGTGTGAAATTGGTTCTTTTTACTTTTATATTTTTGCTTGAATCTTAACTCTGGAAATCACCTGATGTAGAAGAAGGCTGTGATGAGCTCGTCTCTGGAACATCACAAGTATTGAAAATACAGTAATGGATGTTTCCTTTCTAATCCATGTTTATTGTTTCTTTTGAAATCACGTCTAAAAACTATGACTCATTAGACTATAGCTGTTGTTTCCCAAACTTCAGTCTCTTGAGTACTACTTGTATTATTTTCTTAATATTTATCTTTTATATTTTAAAGTTTTTTTAAAAAACGAATCCTGCTCCAAGTGGAAAACCAGTATCCGTTTGCCGTAAATAAAAGGTAACCACAAAATAAATAAGACGAACACAAAAAATGTTTTTCAGTTCTAGCTAGAAACTAATGCCTAGAAAGGCTCCGAATCTTAGGCTCGCGCTTTGTGGCAGTGAGGGAGATGTTACCAGCACCAGCATGAGGCACTGTCTCTGGAATAGTCAGAGGATGAAAGGAAACTGTAAAGGGAATGACGTTCTCATTGTGATTCAGCATTATTCTGTGTTGTGCACCACTTAAAGACATCTTGTTTGCCACCAGTGGCATGGGTCCTGCACTATGGAAATGCTTGACTGTACTAAGAATCAGAAGGTAGCTTTCCTAGCAACTCATTATTTTATGGCTTTGAGGAATTAAGCCCCTAGTATCTGAGATAACTTACTTGCTTTTTGATAACGTTTTAAAGATTGTTTAAGCAGTTATGAATTAATAATATAGGAAGCACAGTGTGATTCCATTAGCAAAATCTGTAACTCTCATGGTTTTGGAAGTCATCTTCATGAGTGATTTTCCTTTGTTTTTTAAAGAAAATATTTCAAACAAGGAATTCAAAGGATGCTGAAATTGGATATCATCCAGAAAAACAGATCCCATTACATTGTAATTGTTGTTACTGGGCATATTGATTAATTAGAAGAAATAGTCCAGAGGGTAAAGTTAGTGAACTGTCTTGTTTGCGTGAACCAGTATTTGTGGATATGTCTAGAACTGTAAAATCTTGCTTAACTAGAATGTTAGTCTGCACCCTCCTTTTAGGAGAGTGAGGTAAAAAGACGGTAAGCTTATGATATCAGGGATTCATGTAAAACAGGAAACTATAGTTTGCTCCAGTTTTCTGCTCTAACAAAAGTATACATATTCTGAGAGATACCCCAAGGCATCACAATATCCTGAATCATCAGAACACCATTGAATTGTGTTGGGCATTTTGTAGCCAGGAAAGTGAAGTGGTTCAATTTAGAAAGGTTGTCAAGCCAGGCACGGTGGCTTGCGCCTGTAATCCCAGCACATGGCCAACATGGTGAAACCTCATCTCTACTAAAAATACAAAAAGCTGGGCACGGTGGCGCGTCCCTTTAGTCCCAGCTACTCGGGAGGCTGAGGCAGGAGAATCGCTTGAACCCAGGAGGTAGACGTTGCAGTGAGCCAAGATCATGCCACTGCACTCCAGCCTGGCCAACAGAGCAAGACTCTGTCTCAAAAAAAAAAAAAAAAAAAAAAAAGATTTTCTAAACTAATGGTTAAAACAGAGTTTTCTTGTAAATAGGGAAGTTGGAGCATTCTGGTTAATTGAGATTTGGCTCTGTATTGACATAGCTCGCACTGGTTTGGTTTAGGAGCTACCTCCTTGTCATTGAATTGACCAGTTACAATGTTTGGTATTCAGATACATTCAGCAAGAACACTTGAAAACTCCTCACCAACTATTTTTAAAGGCTTACTTTGTTTTTGTTTTTATTTTTTCACTGGCTATTTTGAATAAGAGGATGTTTACATCTTAATGTAAAAAAATGAAAAGTATAAATGTTTTATGTATAGAAATGTTTCATTATTTGGTGCCTATATCTCCATGTTTATATCATTTCCCTACCTGTATCATGTTGCCAAAAAAAGAACTGAATTTAGAAAAAGAAATTGGTGTAAAGAAGTCCTGGCCAGGCACGGTGGCTCATGCCTGTAATCCCAGCACTTTGGGAGCTCGAGGTGGGTGGATCATGAGGTTAGGAGTTCGAGACCAGCCTGGCCAACATAGTGAAACCCCTTCTCTTCTAAAAATACCAAAAAAATAAGCTAGGCATGGTGGCGGGCACCTGTAGTACTAGCTACTTGGGAGGCTGAGGCAGGAGAATCGCTTGAATCCGGGAGGCAGAGGTTGCAGTGAGCCAAGATCGCGCCATTGCACTCCAGCCTGGGTGACAGAGTGAGACTGTCTCAAAAAAAAGTCCTTAGGCTCTTTAGAAAGAATCACATTAGGCCTTCATGGTGTATGATCTTATGTTTTATATTGCACTTTTACTTCTAAGAACAAGCCTGAGTTTACCTCCTCATAGTGAGTTTTGTAGCATAGGAGCTACAGTAGTAGCTGCCCTCATTCTAAGGGGGAGGACACAGAGGTGATGAGATGGTAATGACTTACCCAGTTCACATAGCTAAGCACACACAACCCTGATCTAGTGCAGGGCTCTTTGCACTAGCATGGAACTAATGAAGGTGACCAGTGTTATATTCAGGCAATATGACTGTTCTTGGTAAAGCCAAGGAATTGAGGGGTTCTGAAATTGGTGAGTACAGGCCTGCTGCTGGGATATTTTATCCTAAGAGGTGCATTTTAATTTAGATAATTCCTCAATACTGCTTTTTGATTAAGGTATACCATGAGAGCAAAGATACCCTCTTTTATATACTCAAAATAATTGCAATATTTGCTTGCTTTTTTTTTGGTCTGTATTTGAAATGTATTTACATTAATACCTGGCCTCTTTCCCAAAAGCACTTGAAGCAGCATACCAAGAAAAGACATATACAACCATGTTAATGAAATATGAACAGAAAGGGAAGAAAAACAAATGAAAATTGAAAGGAGGATTTACATACATTATTGTATGTAAAATTTGATTCTGGAACTTTCCGGAACCAAGGCTAAGGGAAGGGAAAGAAGTTATGCACTGCCCTATCAGTAGGTCAGAAGCATACCGGTTCCTTAGGGGGAGCCTTTTCTGATGCCTTCCAGTAAAGGTGTTCTCACTGGGGTCCTGTGAAGTGCTAAAATGAACAGAATTCTCGATTTTCACACATGTACATGTTATGATTGTGCCTTGGATCCTTGTGCCAACTTTCAAAGGCTTCCATTTCAGGGTTTGGGGGATTTGTGTAGGTGTGGTTAATAAAGGATTTTGTTTTCATAAGAATCCTAAGCTGAAAACAAGTATTAAGCTTGAAAATCATTTGAGACAAAGGCCTTAAGACATGGAGAACCTTTACCCAATTTTGCAATTAGCACATTTATATTGCAGTAAATGTGGTCTTCACAGTGGAATCTAGTGTGGAGAGATGGATGGCTCCATTTCTGTTAGGCTGCGTGTGGAACCCCATTAGACTCCTACTTTGTAAGGGGTCCACAGAGACCAGAAGTTTGTCATAAGGGACCTAACCTCCGTGGCTCCTGAGGTTAGCTGCTCCCCTAAAAGACCATTGCTTGGCCTTTATTTCAAAAGGTTTACTAAGTGACCTAAGGCCATACTCTGAGCTGTTGGGTTTCCAAGAAACTCAACAAAGTGTGTGTGTGTGTGTGTACACCTTCCTTGTTACTATTTTAACAGACTTTTGGCTCACTGTAAGAGTTAGAACTTCTGTGGAGTGTGTGGTAAAAGAACACATACAGCCGGGCGCGGTGGCTCAAGCCTGTAATCCCAGCACTTTGGGAGGCCGAGACGGGCGGATCACGAGGTCAGGAGATCGAGACCATCCTGGCTAACACGGTGAAACCCCGTCTGTACTAAAAAATACAAAAAAAAAACTAGCCGGGCGAGGTGGTGGGCGCCTGTAGTCCCGGCTACTCGGGAGGCTGAGGCAGGAGAATGGCGGGAACCCGGGAGGCGGAGCTTGCAGTGAGCTGAGATCCGGCCACAGCACTCCAGCCTGGGTGACAGAGCGAGACTCCGTCTCAAAAAAAAAAAAAAAAAAAAAACACATACATTCAAGAGCAGCCACCACTCAAAACCACGTTGAACACTTAGCCTTACCACAAGTTATAGGTCACTCTTTAGGGCCACATTCTTCGTCTATGTTCAAGGCTTTATAGTATTTTTCTGCCTTATTATCTCTAAGGAACCAAAGTCTTTCTCCCTAAAAATGCTGTGGTACAATAAGATCTGATTTTAGGGTTAAATTGACTTTAGCAATATCCTCACTAAAAGTTAACAAAAGAAACCCGGCTCCAGGGGTTATGACTGAGTTTGTGCGAAAGGGCTGAGTCCGCTGAGAATGTACTCTGAGCATTACTGGTAAGGTTGGAGGTGTCTGATCATTAGTGTTCTGGGGCTGCTGTTGAATGTTGGCAGATTGCAGCCTCCTGTTTAAGCATCGAGCTTTTCAAAGAGAAAAACTGGCTGCCACTCTTGCAATGTCTCTTTCTTGAGTGGCCAAGTTTTCTAGGTTATTTAGCAGATGAAATCAAAAGAAACGTGGAAACACTGTGGTTGGAAGCCACATGGCGCGCATCCTTCTGCTTGTTAACGGTGAGTGGTGTTGATGCGTGGGCATTCAGGTTTCTTCTGCGTTGGCAATGCTGATGTGTAATCAGTTTTCTCAGCACAATTGGGGGTTTTAGGAAACAGTGAGAGATCAGCCTTAGTTCTCAGAGTTTTTGAAATCAATATTCTAGCCTTATGAATCGTTCCTTGTGTTTCCTTGGCAACAAACAGTATTTTCAGCCCAAACCCACCCACAGTTTACATTCACCCCTTTCTCCTGCATCTCACAGCGCAGCTATACAAGCATCACCCAACAGAAAGCACATTCAGGCGCCATCTGACAACAGGAAGCAGGACTCAGGCATTCCACTCCCCATTTGCTCCTGGTGTCCCCTCCCCAGCTCTGCCTTGCTTGCTTATAATTCTTTGTGCCAGCACTTTTCTTTGAGGTTGGGTTGCAAAGGATCTTACCTAAAGATGAACAAACTATTTCTCCCTTGCACTTTGAATTCCTCCAGTGCCTAGGACTAATGAGAATGCTTATTAGCTCATTTTTTGGGCCAGTGCTGGCTTCTCCGTAGTTAATCTTTATGGCAGCATGAGGTGGAGCAGGGGAGGCTATATCATTTACATTTGAGGAAACCAAGACTTAGGAACCTGTCTTTGTATGATATGACACTTAGTGGTGGATGTGAAGTTCAAATTTGGAGTTTGGGTTTAAGCCGCTTAAAAGTTGGTGCTCATTTTCCTATGCCACAGTGCATCTCAGAAAGAAACTTCTTAGGGAATGTGTGTGTTACGACAGCTGGGTTCTTACTGTTTTAGCAGCAGTGTGAACAGATGAAGCAGACATGAAGGGGGAAATGGCAATGTATGCTGTGTGACAGGCACTATGGTAAGCATGTCATCTTCACTGAAAGCATTTATGAAGGTTTTCTCTTTTGAAAATGAGCCACCTGGGCCATGAAGAAGTTAAGTGA